TTTTACTTTAAAATTGCATGTTGGGTGGGATAAATATAGGAAAATATTTTTGAGATAATTTATAGAGGGATTTCATTTGAAAAATCAAAGCAATAATGTATTAAAAAAAAATATTGACTTTTCACATTTTACAAATTATTAAGGTTTGAAAAATAAATATGTTTTGTAGATATGCGTTAAAAAAAATTAAATATGCTTTACTTATATTATATCATTATATCATGTGTCGTTTTTTTAGTATAATAGAAGTTTATTGTATGAATGTGATGCACCCTATACAGGGTGTAACTAATTAAGTGTACAACATTTAAGGGGGTGATTCCTCATCGAAAAAAAGATAGGATCTTTCGTATAAAGAAACTTCATTGGAGCATCCCTTGTTAAGATACGGCCCCTTAAAGGGGGTACATAAAATTTGTTTAACAATTTTTTTCACAAGCACTAAACAAGTTACAATATTGAAATTAACCTGATATTTTCTACTACCAAAAAGACACTTAGCCAGTAATTTATTTGGTTTATCCCATAGTTGTAAGGGGTGGAAAACGCAACCCTTAAAATTTCGTTCCAACGTAACTTTCTGTCTTATTATTAGTTTACCATTTAAAAATTTATTTCCGATAGCCTGTTTCATTCTAAACAAAAAATGTCTCTTGAATGTTTTGCCCAAAATAAACCAGTTCGCTGCAAAAAATTATTTTATGAACAAGATAGATATCGCCATAAAACGAAAATACGAAACTAATTTATCTAGTAGGCCGCTATTAGCGATACTGACAATTACATTGAAATCAAGCTGTCAGTTTGTAAATTTTTGAAATTGAAGTAATACTAATTGTGTATTGTTGATCTGTTCGTAATTTGTTACTTTAATAATTCACTTGTTATTAAAATGGCATACACAAATGAGGAAATGGCTGATATGCATTACGTTTACGGTCTGTCGCAGGGGAATGGGTTAGAAGCTTCTAGAAGATATGCTGAAATGTATCCTCAACGGCAGCATCCTTCACATAGAATATTTGCCCGACTTCATCAACGATTACGAGAACATGGTTCATTCAACAAAAGAACGCACGATTGTGGTCGCCATCGAGAAGTAAGAACACCACAGCTTGAGGAAGCACTACTTAATTTTATTGAAGAACAACCTACTACCAGTACTAGAAAGATTGCTTTCCAGCTAAATGTTGATCATATGACGGTATTTCGAATTTTAAAGGAACATCTCTTATACCCTTACCATCTACAACGAGTACAGGCACTGTTATCGCGAGACTTGAATTTTGCAATTGGATGCTGGAAATGATTAGAAGAAATCGTGACTTTCTGAAGACGATCGAATTCACAGACGAATGTAGTTTTTCTCGGGACAAGATTATTAATTTTCAAAATTACCACATATGGGCTGATGAAAACCCTCACGCTATTGTCGAAACTCACCATCAAGAACACTTTTTTCTTAACGTGTGGGCCGGAGTTATTGATGATTATTTAATTGGGCCTCATTTTCTACCTCGTTGATTAAATGGTGAGGCATACGTTCAATTTTTAAGAGAAGTGCATCCCGTACTGCTGGAGGAAGTTCCTTTGGGCGTCAGAAGGGATGTTTTTTATGCATGATGGGGCTCCCGCCCATTTTAGTCAAGTAACACGTCAGCATTTAACTGAAACATATGCAAATCAGTGGATAGGCCGAGGAGGACCACAGAATTGGCCCGCTCGATCCTCGGATCTCAATACTCTCGATTTCTCTACATAGGCCCGATTGTACAAAGCAATCTAAAACCTAGATTCAGGTGAACTCGGTAAATGGTTGAACTTACTTTAAAAATTGCTAGGAATTGTACATACCCCGCTCAATGTCGGTTTAGATAAACTTCATTGTTCAGGGTTGCCAGATTTTAATTTTACTAAATACGTAGTGTATCTTTGTTTCTCTTATTAGAAAATAAATGACCTATATAAAATGTCATTTTTGGCATTTTTACACTAAAAATTATTATTTTTAGAGGTTATACGTAGTTTTCCTTCGTGTTACCAAACTGATAATATGGAAAATATGAATGTGCAATCAAAAAAAAAACGCCAAACTTCACGCATGCCGAAGAAGGTTTACTAGTGAAACTAGCAAAAAATATAAAGACATTTTAGAAAATAAAAAGACAGATGTGAATGTAACGCGCAAAAAAAATGAGTGCTGGATAAAAATTGAAAGTGAATTTAATTCACAAATCTTTGTGCAAATTCAGTATTGTTCCACTTCACAAAATGATTGTCCCTTGGCCTATATATTTGTGGTTGTCTTTCTGGTTGTTGTAAGATATTTGCTACTTCTAAAAAATCCTCGTCTTCAGACATTTCATCCATTTTTATGAAACAATTTCTATTAATAAGGAATTTAGTAATTCGTATTTATCTTGTTTTCTATTTACCTATATTAGGTGTACGGTTTGTGTACGATAACGTCTAAGGTACCAACCCAAAAAATAGTTTTTGTAGTGTGTTACCAACTAACTAAATTCAAAAATAGGTCTAAACTCGGTTTAAGCGCGGAAACATGACCGCTTTGTTGAACCTATAGATGAACGCAGTTTATGTTCTGAACTAGTATTGTACAACGTCAAAAACCAGGTTCATGCTAAACCGAGGTTCAACTCGCATTGTACAATCGGGCCTTAGGGCCATTTGCAGCATTTGATTTATCATACTCCTGTTCGCGATGTAGAGGACTTAAGAAACCGCATCATCGATGCGTGCAGGGTAATTAGAGAGACTCCAGAATTATTTGAGCGAATACGTGGCTCAATGCGCCGACGTCTAGACGCATGCGTAATGTCTGAAGGTAGACATATCGAACACTTACTATGATTTCCACATGTTGTATGTTTTGTTATTAATAAATTAGTTTTGATTATTCCCCTTTTTAATCATTTAATGCAGGTAGTAATTACAAAATAACAATGAATCCAGTTCGCATTTATGACGATGTATCTCTGTAGTTGTTCGTAAAATAATTTTTTGCTGCGAACTGGTTAATTTTGGGCAAAAAATTCAAGAGACATTTTTTGTTTAGAATGAAACAGGCTATCGGAAATAAATTTTTAAATGGTAAACAAATAATAAGACAAAAAGTTACGTTGGAACAAAATTTTAGGGGTTGCGTTTTCCACCCCTTACAACCATGGGATAAACCAAATAAATTACTGGCTAAGTGTCTTTTTGGTAGTAGAAAATATCAGGTTAATTTCAATATTGTAATTTGTTTAGTGCTTGTGAAAAAAATTGTTAAACAAATTTTATGTACCCCCTTTAAGGGGCCGTATCTTAACAAGGGACGCTCTAATGAAGTTTCTTTATATGAAAGATCCTATCTTTTTTTCGATGAGGAATCACCCCCTTAAATGTTGTACACTTAATTAGTTACACCCTACCCTGTATAGGGTGCATCACATTCATACAATAAACTTCTATTATACTAAAAAAACGACACATGATATAGTTAGTAAAGAATTTATTTACTTATATACTTCAACCGGACCACTTTTATTGTTGGAACAGTTGTTGGTAGAAGTCTTATTCTTGGTTTTGAGGTTCGATTAAAACAATCTGCTTTAAAATGGCGTGAACACAAAAAATATCTTAAAATTGTATAAATAAAAGTATGTATATCCTATAAACCATGAGACTACGCCAATGATCACAGTTGATCGCAGACGCACTTACCATGTTTGTTTACAAATTTAAAACATTAAAAATTATAAAAATCTTCAATGTCGTTGAAAATTGAGAGAACAAAATACTTGCTCATAAAATGTAGATTATTCCTTTCTACTTTTAACTGTGCTGCTATATCCACAAGACGAACAACTGACCATATTGTCTTGTTTGTCTTTTAACGCGGAAAATTTAAAATTAACAGTAATACTAAATAAATACTAAAACACTAAATACTTTTTAAAAATGTCTACAAAACATAGGCTTGATAAAAGTTTAAATTAACATATAAAACATCCAAATTATTAACAAATTTTAATCACTAAAATTATAAACCAATTTTAGAAACCATTTATCATATGATGATGAGTCATCCATAGTACAACATGGCTACCACTTCCGTCAGATCGATTAGATTAACGCGGACATGGCATGCTCCTTCCTGACTATATATGTTCTAAGATTACAACAGAGGTTATACCAAAGCAGAGCTTGTTCTTGTCCAATCCCTCACCCAATCCTTAAGATTGTTGACATCTCGACCTTTTTGTTTTTTACACTACCAGCGTCTAAGACTTCTTACTAAATTATTTTGCTGTATTCTTCAAATATATCATTACCAATTTAATTTAATGATAAGTGGTAAAAGTTGATCTTTTATGCTATTGGTCACTGGTTAACTTCATCTCTTATATTTTCATTTCTTATTCTTTTTGCTACTTAATCTGTTAGCGAGGTCTCACCACCAAGTACAAATGTGAGGATGATCAATTAAAGTAAGATTATCTATTTCAAGGACCTTAAATATATCGAACATGGTTCAGATTTAAGTCCTGTATTGAAAATAAGTAGTAAAGGATTGGAATTCTCGGTGTTAAAAGATGATCTAGTTTATACTGTTGGTGTACCGTCAACGTTTGTTTTATAAAATAAATATGTCAGTAAATGTTTTAAAATTAGTTTTAATAAATTAAATTCTTTAATAAACTTCTTATAAACAGGACATTAAAGTATTACAATTTTGAGTTGATTATTAAGATCAAATTAAACATCATCATTAATATAGTCATTGCAGAGCTAGTTCCGTCCACTGGAGAATATAGGCATCTCTCAATGTTTGCCACCTCTACCACATCGCTCCATCGAGTCACCATCTAGATATCCTTTGTCCTGCTGTGGTACCTCGGCCTTAGCAACTCCATTTGAAATTTGTAATGTTTTTAAACTATTTCACTGACTCTAGTTCTTTATTAAAACTCTAATCTTTAGTGTCTATGTCGTATATCCCTTTTTACTCAAAATATTTCAAATAAAGTCAATCCATGTTGTTCTCGACTGTCCTCTTCATCTTCTTCTGGTTATTTTTTAGCTTCCCAACACTAAAATTAATAAAAAAAATGTCACGTATATGCACAATTGTAAAATTTTAATATGTACTTTCATTTAACTAAAACAAATGATTCAGACTTTGTTTTCAATAATTTTGCAAAACAGACCAGACATTATCATAGAATGTGTGAAATAAACAACTTTTTCATTTATATGTTTTAAATTTTAAGCAGTTATAAAGAAATTTCGATTTGACAACGCTGTTACGAATCTCTCTTTGATTCATGGTATTGTGTCGGTTGGTGGATGCCCTTGAAAACTATTTTTTTCTTCTTCTTCGTCTATACAATCGTTCAATCAGGTAACACTGTCTCGCTTTACGGTCCTTTGGAGAAGATGAATGCGGCTGCTGTAAAATGGTAAAATGAAGATCGTGGATGATGGTGGCGTTGTTACTCTTTGACTTGGACCAGGGAGGTAGAGCCAGTTGAGAGGGTATATCGAGTAGAAGCGGTATAAATGTACCTAAATGAGCTTTAAATTTGATCTATTAATAAACTGTTAAGTGCTATGGTAATAAATAGAAAACAAAAATAAAAATTGTAAGCATGAAGGCCAAGCAATAAATAAATAATATATTTATTTATCAGACATAATTAGCTACATATTTCTGTAACTTAATTTATTTATATGGTAAACACCTGGAGGACAGTCCTGAATGGTTTGTCGATTCAGTTCAGAAAAATAATTCGTTGTGTTGTGGGTTTTTGAAGGTTTTTGTTGGTTTGTTAATTAAAGATTGTCAAGAAGGATTTTAGAATTGTCAGAGGGGTGATTTTTGAAAGATTAGCTTGGGAATTTTGTACAAGTTAATTTGGAAAATAAATTATTAGAAATTGTATACTGAAGAGATCAATTAAATAAAGGAAACATAAATAAAAAGGTAAGAAATTTTATTTAGAAATTGAAGCTATATAATACCAGAGGGGAGAGTATCAGATACCAGGTAGGAAAGACATCCAGGGAATTTTGAGAACATTTTCTGGGAAAGAATGCAAGTATTTGCGTAAATCTTAAAACAATAAGATAATTTATAATTTGTTTCTCTATAATAATAATAATAATAATAATAATAATAATAATAATAATAATGTATATTTTTACTAATGCAATTTTTAACAATTTGTATTAACATTCTAAATTAATATTAAAATCGTAAAGTTGAATTAGGATTTTACTTGATTGAAGGATATCACTATGGGTTTTTTCTCATCATTAGATGTATATAAACAACAATACTTGATGATACGGGCAGTTTCTTTTATTTTGTGCTATCATTAATATTTTAAACCGTAACATAATCGTAAGATTAAATAGGAAAAGTTAACTATTTTAAATCTCAAAAAATAAGCGTTTTGGCAAGAATATCAAAAATCAAACAAAAACAATCTCTACAATGTTATCCAATATTCTTTTATCAATCGAAAGACCTTTTCTTATACATGAGAAACTTTAAGGACAATAATAAAATGCTAGACATACCTTTGAATAAAATCATATTCACGTTTAGCAACATTTACAGTTGTTATTAATTAGAATAGTGTATTAATTTTGATTAAAAAATAAATATTCCTCATTTTTTTTCGAGATATTTATTCAAAAAATAGTCAGACTATACCTGGGAATACCTGAATCTGAGAATACCCAAAGAGTTTCTAGGAAAAATCAATAAATTAAAGATTTTTCTAGTTATTAAGTAAAATCCTTAAATTTATAGGAAAATAAACTTTAATTTTTCCAGATTTATTACCCCGATGATAAGTATTTTCTTCATTTAGGGCTGATTGTACAAAGAATGATGTAAACTCATTTAGCTAGCAGCTTAATTTTTAACTGGTTATATTCATCGTACAAATGACATCCCTTCTGACAAGCACCGATAAACATATCCTCGATATTTTAACTAAATTTATATGCGACACTAAGCTAGATATTTGAGACCCTACTCTTATTTCTTTCTTTTCTGTATTCCGTTTCTATTATTTAAACATTCTGTGGCAAATGGACACCGTCCGAAGCCATATCTCTCACACAACAACAACAAAACTGTTTAACAATAACCGATGATTTTACGAGGTTCCTAGTTCTAACTAGATTTATTTTTAACTGTATACTGCCTTTAGGGAATTAATAATAAAATAAAGACACTTATTTGTTACTTTTTACTTTTCTGTCTACATATACAAGGGAATCATGATTTTTTTCGACCTCGAGTTTTCGACAGGTTTTTACGCTTTGGGATCCCCTGAATCCGTTTTTGCTAATTTCCCGATGATGTCTGTGTATGTGAATGTATTCGTAATAACTCAAAAAAGGATAAGGAGAAAAACACTAAAATTTAAACTTAGGCTTTAATCCATCCTCTAATGAGTTAATAAGATTTTGGACATATTCGGAGCATAAATAAAAGTTGTTTGCGATATTATTGTCTATAATTTTTGTTCCATACATGATTTCTCTAAAATGAACCGTAATGGAAAAATTTGAGAAAAAGTGTAAAATTTAATTTTTTTTAGTATTTTCATTGGCAAACAATTTACATAAAAAAAATGTTTCGAGTAAGATGTGTGTGGAAAATTTATGTAGTTAGTTCATCTTCAAAACTAGTACAGAGATGATACAACAGATTGTATAGAATAACAGGAAAACTTTAGGTAAGACAGGAAAATCATGTGTTTGGTGGGACACATCAGATTTTTTATTTGGTGAAGAAAATCACACGAGTACATTAGTGTGTAAGAATATTTTGATAAAATCAAGTGGACTGAGTTTGACAAAACCATTATCGTAGCCTTCCTGGAAATATTGAAACGAATTTACAACATACTAGAAAAAAAAATAACTTACATGTGGTAGATATATCCATAAACAGAGTGAAACGATTTGACTAATGTCGAGACTAACATTGTTGAGTAAATGAAATTTTGATTGGAATCAATTTATCCATAACTAAGTATTAATAATCAACATTTTTGAATAATGAAAGTCTTTTTGGTAGAGCCTATGATTCCATGCATCGTTATAATAACGACGCGAACGAATATTATGGTTTTGGAGTCACAGAAGTAGAACCAGAACCAAATTATATTAGCCAATTTAAGTAGACACTGTATATATAATGTACGTATATGCAAAATTTTTGTAAATTTTAAATTAAGTAAGGTACCTTTTTTTACAATATGTCTCACTAAGTTGGAACCTTTTTTTTACATGGTCCACAAAACTTAAAATGCAACTCTATCAATTTTTTTAAGCCGTACTTATATGTAAGTTGGCGGTATATGAAAAACTTTTTTTATTAATATTAAGAAAAAAGTTATTCTTCATAAAAAGTTGAGCATGGTCTAAAACCTAATGTACAACCATCAAATATCAAATTTTATCAGTCGTATACGAGGTTCGTTAAAAATAAAGATACTTTACTCTTCAGCAAAAATCATATTTTTTGACAAACCTCGTATACGGCTTAAAAAAATTAATATCTGATGGTTGCATTTTAATTTTTGCAGAATTTTTTTATCAAGAATAAATTTTTTCACAAAACCAATAATAAAAAAGTTTTCCATATAGTTCCAACTTAATGAGACATTTTATAATTTAGACAAATTGGAATTTTTCTAATTTCACCAATAATATCCTTTAAAGAAAACCAATTTTGTTAAAAAACAAATCTTCCTCTGTTTTTAAAAATTTATTTATAATTTCATTTCTGAAATAACTGAGACTGAAAGGATCCTCTTTGAATATAAAAAAAAATTCTTAAGCAATAATTAATATAATTACATAGTAATTTGGAAGTTTATTTTTTTTAATTGAAATCGAAACAATATTAAATAATTTTTATACAAACTACCTAGGTATATTTTAATAAAAGTACAGTTACATAAATAAGTATAATTATCTTCATCTTATCTTCATATCTTTAAATTATGTTCATTAAGTATCTTTAATTTATTTATTTTCAATCTTTTACATGCCCTGTCTATGGATATTTAACAATTTTTTTTAATTTTTCGTTTATTATGTTTCAAATATCATTATCCATCAGTTAGTTCTTAATTTAATACACTTGAATTGATCCGATTCCCTGTTATATATCAATAATATCAAGATAGGTACATTATTGTTTTCAATTGCTTAACACTTTTGTAGTCATTATAAAGTTATTCCTCATCGTTGAATAATATTATTGAATTCAAATTACATAAATATCATAAAATAACGAATATAAATTCTTAAATTTTGTTCAGAAGCAAAAATATGTGGTATAAAATTATAATTAGGTCCGTTCGTTACTGGTTGTTAACCTTTGAGATTAATTTAAAAATTCCAAAGTGTTCACTTATTACAAATTTATCAGTTTAAATACCTGTTAATATTATCTATACACTAAACAGAATTATCAAAAATTCGTAAAAAAACTCAAAACAAAAAACATATTACTGTTAATGTAAATTCAGTGGAATAATTGTAATATCTTTAAAAAAGACTTTTTGAGTCGATAGTGATTACTATTATAAGAGTCTATTCGTTAATTTACATAATTTTTAATGCCAAAGAAGGCAGCAACGCACCTCGGGAATTTTGAGTTGAAACATATGCCAAATTTTTAGGCTATTTTTATACCCTATTCAAAAATTTTACGCTCCTCGTTTTTTGCAAAAATTAAGGTGCTCTGCTAGCTTCGAACGAAGTCAGCAGAGCATCTCAGTTTTTTAAAGCTTTTTTCCAAAACCAACGACACCATATTTTTAGGCTATTTTTAGACTCTTGAAATATTATAAAACTTTACTAACAAATTGCTATTTTTAAATAATACAGGGTGCTTTGTTGGAGCAAAGTCAGCAGAGCACCTCGGTTTATTATTATTTTTTTTCAGAAAACTAGTTATGCTATATTTTAAAGCTATTTTTAGGCTCTTAAAACAATATATAACTTTTCAAAAAAAATGTATTTTTGTATTGTTTAAAGAATACTGCTAAAGATTGGTTTTTGTCATTTTGATAAAGTAATGTTTATCGTTTATCCGCGGAATCGCGCCATTTTAAACACATAAAAAACATATTTGGAGGTCTTGCTATGTAACGATTTATTATTTTTTTGTATTATAATAATGAATTGAATCATTCATACTAAAAATTATACCTGGATTTTCGTGCTAAATATTGGTTTTTGTCATTTTGATAAAGTAAGGTTATTCCGCGGAACCGCGCTTTTCAAAAGACCTAAAAAACGTATTTACAGGTCTTGCTATGTAATGATTTATTATTTTTTTGAATTATACTAATGTATGGAGTCATTCATACTAAAAATTTTATCTGAATTTTCGTGCTAAATATTGGTTTTTGTCATTTTGATAAAGTAAGGTTTATCCGCGAAATCGCGCGATTTTAAAGACCTAATTATTGTGTTTTTGAATTATACTAATCTATTGAATCATTCGTATTAAAAATTATATCTAGAAT